GGGAAAAACCCAAGTGGACTCAGGGAAGAAATACACACCGCATCCCACCCATGTCCAGGAAGCCTTTGGCTTCTCTCCTGGGGCTGCTCCCTGAAGGTGCAGAGCCAGGTCACAACCAAGGCCCCAACCCTTCCTGCGGCCCAAGGCCAGGTCCACAAGAAGGGCTGGAGTGGCTGTGGTTGGTTGCTGCTGTTCAAATCACCACGCAGAACATCGGGGACTCGGACTACAGTGCATTCATTCTAGCAACCCCAGCAGAGGCCTCCTGAGCTGCAGGGGGCCATCTTCACAGGGAACCTTCTCGAGTCCCAGGGCCCTTTAGTTCTTAGGCTGAGCAGCAAAGTGCATCAGGGCAGGGCAGGGCCAGGCACGGCTGGTGACACCATGGTGGCCTCCAGTCCTGTTGGCTTATGGTGTCCACTCCCCTGCCCTCTGCCCTCCTAGTCGGTGAACCACTGCTTCCCGGGCTCCAGGGCATCAAGCCCATTCTGTAGGGTACAGGCGAGGGGTCTAATGGAAGGGGGGTGCTGGCCACCAGCCTCCTGAGGACATGGGGCTCCAGTACCCGTCAGGCTGGTGAGCTGCATGAGGATGGCTGCCGGGGTGGGATGGGGAGCTTGGCGGGCACTAGGCCCCAGGGGTGCAGAGAGCAGGCTCACCCTCTGCCAAGGGAGCAGGCTGCCATCCCACTCCACTCTGATGACAGGTGATGAGGCCCCTCGGGCTTCTGTCCTGTAACAAGGCTGGACTAGGCTGCCACCTGGGAGGAGGTCAAGCTGGAATCTCCCTTCCCAGGGCGGCCACACCTCCTGGGCCCGAATGCTGCAGCAGCAATTACTATCTGAACATCCACTTTCTGAATGTCCCCTCTCTGTGCCTCAGTTTCTCCATGTGTAAACACATACCCACTTCATGAGTTAGTGCTATGGCTTGAAGAGATCTAATACAGCCAGCACCATGTCAGTGTTTCTCTCTTTTTCTTTAACAAGACAGGGTGTGGCCCTGTCACCCAGGCTGGAGGGCAGTGGTGTAATCACAGCTGACTGCAGCCTTGAACTCCTGGGCTCAAGCCATCCTCCCATCTCAGCCTCCTGAGCAGCTGGGACCACAGGCACGTGCCACCATGTCCAGCTGATGTCAATGTCTCTTATGTGGAAAATGAGAGTGACAGGCGACTGGGGTGTCTGTGCCTGCCTGATGATTGGGGTGCTTCCTGAATGGCACGGGGTGGAGCCCAGCCTGAAAGCCCAGAATGCCTTGGGTGACTTCACCCAGGGCAGAAAGGCATCACTGAGAAGGGCCAGGTCTAGTGCCAGCCAGAAACCACGAGGACAGGGGCCAGAGGTGACCAAGCTAAACAGCCCAGGCGGATCCTGGGGACACACGCCCTTTCCTTGCGTGGACGCTGAATGTGCCCCAGTGAGGGACACAAGGACCCCAGCCCATTGCACCATCGCACACTGTCTCCTGGAGGCTGCATCCTGTGTGTGCAGCTCACACACCTCTCTCCCCGGGACAGCATGCCCCTGCGGGCTTCACTGGTGGCAGCCTCCGCTCCCACGCAGGAGCTCAGCTCACCGCCCACCCTCCTCCAGTGCGTGTGTAGTGAAACGGTGCCTCTCTGGACCCTCCTTCCTGTGATGCTGCCAGGAGAGGTGCCTGACACCAAGCCCTGGCCTGTGGACCCAGGGGCAGAAGAGCTACCGTTTATATGAAATATTTGGGCCAGTGTTGACACCTCCCAAGGCCCCTCCAAGCGCCCAGGTGGACCCGGTGGACAGAAGGGCGTCTGACAAGAGGCACCGCGGCTGCCCCAGATGAACAGTCATCAGCTGAGACTGAAGACGGAGCGAATTCTAGGACCTCAGGCCAGTTCTGCAACGTCAAAATACTGGGTCAAGCCACTGAAGACTATGTCACATGTGTGCTCAGGGTGAACCCTGGACAGGCCAGCTGCCAACAACAAAGCCGTGTGTGCCCATGCTCAGGGTGAACCCTGGACAGGCCAGCTGCCGACGACAAAGCCTTGCCCTGTGCAATGAGCTGGCTCCACCAAAGAGCCAGGACTGGGTAGCAGACTCGGGTCCAGGGGTCAGGGGTCAGCGCTGTTGAGACACCCTCACAGGCTGATGGTCCCAGGGACGAGACAGAACCCACCCCTGCCAGGCGCAGTGCCTCACGCCTGTAATCCCAGCACTTTGGGAGGCCAAGGCGGGGGGATCACCTGAGGTCAGGAGTTCGAGATCAGCCTGCCCAACATGGCGAAACCCCGTCTCTACTAAAAATACACAAAATTAGCTGGGCATGGTGGCAGCTGCCTGTAATCCCAGCTACTTGGGAGGCTGAGGCAGGAGAATCGCTTGAACCCAGGAGGCGGAGGCTGCAGTGAGCCGAGATCGCAGCACTGCACTCCAGCCTGGGCAACAAGAGCCAACATTCCATCTCAAAACAAACAAAACAAAACAAAACAAAAGGAACCCGCCCCTGCCTCCCAAGGCTGCGGAAACACAGAGGAAAAGATGTTGGTAAAGGTGCCCTGGAAATGTACGAAACCACCCAAGTTAGGACCGCGTCACCAGAAATGTACGAAACCGCCCGAGTTAGGACCATGTCGCCGGAAATGTACGAAACCGCCCGAGTTAGGACCGCATCGCCGGAAGAGCACGCAGGTTTAGCACTGCTAACGAGGACGCTGTGCCTAGTGCCCTGCAAAGCCCACTTCCCCAAGGCTGTGGGGCTGAGGGAATCAGTGTGGGCTCTACAACTTGACTGGAACCCGGCTCTGACCCCGCGAACCACACAGGTCATGGCCTGGGGAAGGCCACCAGCTATCGATGCCTCCAGGCCTTCCCTCCTGGCCGCACCACACCAGGCTTCATCTCACAAGACTCCAAAAACATCTTCTTTTCAGGAAGTGAAGCTACCCAAGGGTGGCCTTCATCTGGGGTCACCAGAGAACCACAGTCTGTGGCCCCCACCTTGGGGCCTGAGTCCCTGTAGAGCAACGCTCAACACACAGGGCCCGGAGCTCCCCTCAGTCTCCTTGACCCCACCAAGAAGTGTCAGGGACCAAGGGCCGTCATGGAGCCACCATTGTCCTCAGGACCAGCCCCTTCCTCATGGCTGAAGATGCGCGTTCTGGGAACGAGGCCACCCCCGTACCGCTGGGCTGTCCGGGATGGATGGGATGGAGGCCGCCCCTGTACCGCTGGATGGAGGCCGCCCCCGTACCGCTGGGCTGTCTGGGATGGAGGCCACCCCCGTACCGCTGGGCTGTCTGGGATGGAGGCCGCCCCCGTACCGCTGGGCTGTCTGGGATGGAGGCCGCCCCCGTACCGCTGGGCTGTCTGGGATGGAGGCCGCCCCCGTACCGCTGGGCTGCACGGGCGCAGGGTTCAGGGATGACTCCATCTCGGCAGAACAGCCTTGGCAGGCGCGACTCAGAGCATCCCCGATGGCAAACCCAGCCCTGGGAATAAAATTACGCAGAAAAACTCGCAAGTAAAATCCCCTAAACTCATCAAAACTGGTGCGATCACTCAAGCCAGACACAGTGTCCCAGGCCACAGAGCAACACTCGGCCGCTGTATGGCAGGTGGGGTAAGGTGGGGGCGTCGGCTGAGGAATGTGCAGACAGATCATTTGTTCATCCGTCAGACATTTATCCATCTGCCATAAACAAGGCTCCTGACTCAGGAGGGTGGCAAAGATGAATGGAGGCAGGTTCTTTCCCTCAGGGTAGAGGAGCTCCCCCAACACAGCTGGGCTGGCAGATAGGACACCAGAGACGTCAGCGCCTCGGCTGCCCACAGCGGGGCCAACTCCCCTGCAGTCCACTCCTGGCCGTGGTACGCAGGAACCAGGACGCCCCTGGTAGCCCTCCGCCTCCTCCATGAGCTCAGGAGTGAAGACTGTTGTATTGGAGTAACAGACATGAAGATCCTGAGCCCACACCTGTGCATGGGGTCTTACTCGGCAGCAGGTTCTAGCAGATGTGATAGAGTTAGAATGGTGTCATATCAGATTAGGGTGGGTGCCACTCCCTTACAGGGAGAAGGAAATCTGGACTCAGGGCAGACACACAGAGCAGCAGGCCCCATACAGACAGCGACAGAGACCGGAGCCATGCGGCCACAGCAGCTGCAACAGGCAGGAGGACCCTCCACTGCAGCCTCCCGAGGGAGCACGGCCCAGCAGACACCGTGACCGCAGGTGTCTGGACCCAGAACCACGAGAACAGGTTTCTGTGGTTTGAAGCCACCGGGTGTGTGGCATTTTGTTCCAGCGGCTCCCGGAGACTCACACAGCCTGGACACTGTGCCTGAACCGAGTGAGTCCTGGGGACATTGACTGGAACCCGGGGGCTGCTGAGCCTGCATCCCAGGGCTGGGCTGAGGGTGGGACCAGGCAGCGCCGCTCCAACATCTCCGCACTGCCGGGGCCCCGCGTGTGGGCTGCGCGGAAGCAGCAGAGGGCCCTCCTCACACCGTCAGGCCCTTGGGCATCACCGCACCTGAGCTCCCGGCTGGGGACTCGGCCCTGCTGAGCATCCCAGGCCATCTCTCTTCTAACCCACCACACTGCCCAGTCCACCGTAATGCCTGCTCCACTGTGCTGCCGGCTCCACCACACCACCCGGTCCACCACGTCACCCAGCCTACCACGTCGCCTGGTCTGCCACGCCACCCGGTCCACCACGTGACCCGGTCCATCACGCCGCCTGGTCCACCCGCCCGTCCCCGCCCCCCTCCCGGTCCGCCACGCCACCCGTCCCCACCACCCGCCTACCCGCCGGTCCACCACGTCACCGCCCCGTCGCTGGTCCGCCACGCACCGTCCCACGTCCCGCCACCCGCCCCGGTCCACCACGTGACCCGGTCCACCACGTCACCCAGCCTACCACGTCGCCTGGTCCGCCACGCCACCCGGTCCACCACGTGACCCGGTCCACCACGTGACCCGGTCCATCACGCCGCCCGGTCCACCACGTGACCCGGTCCATCACGCCGCCCGGTCCACCGCGTCGCCTGGTCCGCCACGCCACCCGGTCCACCACGTGACCCGGTCCATCACGCCACCCGGTCCACCGCGTCGCCTGGTCCGCCGCGCCACCCGGTCCACGACGACGCCCGCTCCACTGCGCCACCAGCTCCACCACTCACTCCACCCGTCTCCTGCTCCTCCTGCTCTGGCTGGGGCCTTCCCTGTCCCCTCCACGTCCCTGTGTTAAGCTGGGCTCCGATTAAAACTGTGCTTGACTCTGCTGTCCGTGTCCTCCGCCGTGAAACAGGTTTCTCCACACCAGGGCCATCCGTGTGGGGGTCAAGTTCTTTTCCCAAACCCGGCAGGGGCCCCGTGCACCTGTGCCTGGTGAAGGATGAGGGGGCCTGTGGGGTGGGGCGGGACAGTCGGTGCAGCCAGACGCCTCCAGAGCCTGGTGGGTGCCTCGACCTCCCACAGCCTCCCAGCTGGAGCCTCTGGGAGTCCGTTTCCCCGTCTGTAACATGGGATAGGAACAGTGTTTACCCCCATCCATGGGGTTCTTAACAACAACAAATAGTTCAGCATAAGAGAGAATGCAGGGCACCTTCTCCATTGCAGATTACAACTCAGAACAAAGAAGAAAAGCCACAGTGACCTTCCTCACCAGCTTCCAGAGGTGTTCATCCAGAAGGCTGCTGTGTTACTGCCAGGGCTGCCGTAACCGAGTACCCGAGACTGGACAGCTTGAACAAAGGGCATTCGCTGTCTGCAGCCCACGAGGCTGGACCTTTGGGTTCCACAGGTGTGGCAGGGCTGGCTTCTGAGGTCCTTCTCGGTGTGCAGATGGCATCTCTGTGAGTCCGCACAGGCTCAGCCCTGTGTGTGTCTGTGTCCTCACCTCCTCTTTTTGTGTCCTCACCTCCTCTTTTTAAGACAGACAGGGTCCTCTTGAATCAGGGCCCTGGACCCCAAGGACCCCACTTAAGCTTCTCTCCTTTAAGGCCCCATCTCCAAATATGTTAAGACTGGGGGGCAGCACTTACACGTATAGATTTGGGGGATGCAGTTCAGTCCATAAGAGCTGCTTTCTGAGGGGCTCCAGTTCCTACCCTCAGGGGTGAGGGCGGGAGGTCACTGAGCTCCACTGAGAACAGTCCTGCTGGCCTGTTGTGAGGCCTGCTGGGGGACACGTCCTCAGCATGGCATCTACAGACCCCACAAGGCCACATCGCAGCCACCTCTTCTCTGTGAACAGCCCCCAACACCAGGGCTGAGATCTCGTGTGCGAATCTCCATCCAGGGGTGGACACAGGACACGCTGAGCCCACCCGCAGTCTCTGGGGTCTGTCCCTGGCTGAGAGCATGGGCCGGTGACGGCGCTGGACCTTCACTGAGAGGGTTCTGAAGCCATGGCGCTGCCACATGCCACCACGTTAGGAAGGAGGCAGGACCAGGCAGATCCACCAACCGAGGCCAGGGGCACAGCTCCATCCCCGCCCCCTTAGTAAGCAGATCCCCTTGTGCTCACTAAGCAGTGGGAAACGGTTACTATTCCTCATAACCAGACAGTGAAGGATATTGCTGTGTCTTATCTGCAGACACACAGGGAGGGGCCCGAGTCTGAAGGCTCCGTGAGTCCCCAAAGCCACGCAGCCAATGCAGAAAGGCTGGCTCTGGGACCAGCTCCTCTGCCCCAGGGCCCCCGCTCCTGCAGCTACCTCCTGCCCTGCCATCCTTCCAGCCAGGGAGGCCACACGCAGCAGTGGTGGGGGAGGTGGGCTTCTCCTTGGGGCTCCTACTTAGCGAAGTCACTGTTTGGTCCGGTTAGGGAAAGCATCCATTCATCCTCTCCAGGGTTGGAGGAGAGGGGCCTGCAGCGGGAGCTCCTCCCTGTGCTAATTAAGAACAAACCAGCTGGGGTGGGCGTGGGCAGCAGTGTCCAGGAAGACGGGCACTTGGTGGGTTCTAAGGAATCGGCACATCCGGGCACTGACCAGACTCCCACTAAAAAGCAGACCTGCAGTCCCGGACAGTCGAGGAGGCAGGGCCCCCAGAGCTTCTGCTGACTCAGCGCGCTGACGGCCAGATTGCTGCCATAGATCATGGAGTCATCGTGCCTCGCGCCGGGGAATAAAGGGAGCTGTGTATGGCAAATGCACGGGAGCTACTGTCAGCTCTGAGAGGGAAGGATGGCACCAGGAGACCCAGTCTGCAGGTAATGAAAGCAAGCCCACAGCAAACACAGAGAGGCAGATGGAGCCATCACATGCTCCTCCCCAGATCTGCTCAACATTTCATCCTTTATTGGTCATTACTGACCTGAATAGTGAGCTTGAAGATCAGTTATCACCTCTGGACACATCTGGGCTGCTACAGATGTCTAACCCTGTCTCAGCAATTACAGTGCTGGCCACTTGCCCACCCCAGAGGACACAGCACCTGCAGGCACGTGTCCTCGGGCTGAAGGCAGCAGACCGCCCTAACCAAGGCTGGGATTAGTGTGCACAGGCATTCACTACGCAGCCCTTCTGTGCCATGAGGCGGAGAGCTGGGGAAGGAGGCAGGGTGGGCAGTGCCAGGGCCCTGGAAAGAAAACCGTGTACTCTTTTGCTTAGCTTTGACAGAAGCAGGCTGCAGTCTCAACATTTTCTGCAAGCTGCCAAGCTGTAAGAACACATATTTCTCGGTTGGTTAAATAGTCTAGCTTACTTCTCTGGGGGAAAAAAAAAATCTTTAATTTAAATATGGGAAAATTATATTTCTGTCTTTCTGATGGTATTTTTCCTCTCTTTGCCTCATTGCTATCTTTGGGTCTTTGAGAAGTTCCTAGAAGCTTCCAGAAACTGGGCCCTGGTGCGGGGGAGGGTTCTCAGCAGTGCTGGGGTAGTGGTGGGCTGCCGTTTGCTATTTCTATGGAGCTGCTGCTTTTGTAGATAGGCCGTGATTTTTCCTTTTTGGAGAAGGGAGCAAAGCATCGTTCTGAATCATGAATACCAGGATCCAGGTGTGATACTCACACGAAGGGTGGCTTGGTTTATAACCCAGTGGTAAAAGGAGGAGCTGGTGACAATGAATTTGTGTCATCAAGGCAGAGTCCCATTTTGGCACTGAATTCTGAGCAGCGGTAAGGTCAAGGTGCCATGTCAGGCTGCCTGCGATGGCCGATCAACCCTCGGCACTGAAGGTAGAGCCACCAGTGGCGAAAAACATGGAGCTCCTGACAGCCAACCCAGCGGCCGCGTGGTTATGCATCCTGGAAACTAACACACCCTGCCTGGGCAATGTCGGCTTTTATACGTCTTAAATTAAAATAACCCATTTAGGACTGTGCACATCATGGCCTCTCTCACTTAATAACCCGATGACTGGTGCAGACGGTCTCACGGGGGAGGCTGTGGTGCAATCACCCCCCACTGGTGTGAGCAGAGGGTCCTGGAGGGACTGAGCTGGGGGGCTCTGTGCCAGGAGCCAGGGGAGGCCAGAGGCAGTGAGATGAGGCTCAGGAGCACAGGCGCGGCCTTTGACCTTCCCTTGCTGTGTGCCCGGAGGCCCAGGAGTGGCTACCCCGGGAGCCGTGCTAACTGGGACGCCCGCTGGGCTGCAGGGCACATTCCGTGTCTGACCTGGGGGCCGCCCACAGGTTTGATGACGTCACAATCCATGCAGTGGTACATTTAAGATGTTTGTGTTTCACTGCTGAGAGGTATACCTCAATTTAAAAAATAATGTAGACATCACGGGCACCTCCTTCCTTCCCCGCAGTGACAATACGGCCGTCCCCGTGCTGGGCTCTAAGTGGTGTTCCCAGTTCTGCAGACTCAAGAAGGAAATTTCACACTTGGCCCCAGCAGCCAGGGTGGAGGCACCAGCCCCGCCCATCCCAGGCGCACTGCAGCGGGTCACCCATTCCGTCCACTCCGAAGGTTGGTTGCTGGACTCGGCCTTGCTGAATTTTAAATGAGAGGGCCCAGGATCTCCCTCATGTCCGAGGGAGGCCGGAGCCCCCCCACCACAGCATTCCCCAGTGAAGGCCCCCACGCAGGTGACCACAGGAGGCACAGCAGGGCTGCACAGTGACCGCAGCCCTCACTCATCACTCGGCATCTCACGCCGGGTCCAGCTCAACCTCAGCTCTAACCTCAGAGGCTGCAGCCCCCTGTGCTGGCCACAGAGAGGGGAAGTGGAAGCCGCCCTCCCTAGCCACAAGGCTGCCCATCTGCCCTGCGGAGGCCCGGGGGCCGGTGCTCACACCTGGAGCCACAGTCACATCCAGCGCCAGGGAGCAGGGCTGGCATCTCCATCCCTGAGGCCACACCAGCCCCGGGAATCGCCCGCCTCTCAGGCATGTGAAGGACATGCTCTGCCACTTCCAACCTTTCCCTTTCGTCCCAAGCCATAGTGCAGCCAGCTCACCCCCGTGCCCAGGCTCACCCAGCACAGTGTGCGGTGCCCTCTCCCAGCCCCAGGAGAAGATCCTGGCTGGCGTCAGGGGCGACCACAGTGTCTCCGCGACTGCAGCTCCACAGCCTCATTCCGTTGGGAGTTCGTGGGCGGATGGCATTGAGGGGACCAGGGACAGCAGGCCAGGCTCAGCGGCAGCTTCAGAAACGCCTCCCACTAGGGCAGCTCAGGGTCCCTAAGGCCAGGCGCTGCCCTCCGAGCTGTGAGGGCCAAGTAGCTTCTGAATCTCAAGGTCAAAGCCCGGCCATGTTCTCAGGCTCCCTGTCTCACGGTCTTCGCCCTCTGTCCAAGTTCAGGACAAATGGCCCACTTGGGGTGGGACAGGCCTGTGTGGCCAGGTGTCTGGCCTCTGAGCTGGACACGGGGCAGGGTCCTCACATCAACAGAGGTCAGGAGACGGGCGTGGTGGTCTTGCCAGGGCAGCCCCCACCTGTGGCTGCTGTGCTGCCAGAGCAGAGCCCCAGGGGTCCAGGGTAGAGAGACTGGTCAGAGCCCTTCTGCCTCAAACACCAGGCTATGCCTGGGTACCTGCGTGCTGCAGTTTTACTGAGATATGATTCACACACAATACAATTCGCCGCTTAAAGTGTCAATTCAGTGGTTTTCAGCATATGCCAGAGCTGGGCAACCATCACGATAGCCAACTTTAGGACACCTTCATCTGCCCGGAAGAAACGCCGTTCCCGTCAGCAGCTGCTCCCCGTCTCCCTCCCGGGCCCTGGCAGCCACAGGCCTGCTTTCAGCCGACGTGACCTGGCCCGTTCCGGGCGTTTCACGTCACTGGGCTCCGACAGGGCAGACTTGTGACTGGCTTCCCTCACTCAGCGTCATGTTTCCGAGGTTCATCCGTGTTGTTGGTTCATCAGGAACGCCACTCCTTTGTAAGGCTGAATAGTGTTCCAGTCACGGCTGTGTTTGAAGGTGTATTTCCGCGAGTCTGCTGACGGACACCTGGGCGCTTTCCGCTTTCTGGCTGCTGGGAACGGTGCTGCCAAGAACAGGCGTGTACAGGTTTGTGTGTGGACGTGCTCTCATTTCTCCTGGGGGGATGGACTCTAGGAGTACGACTGCTGGGTCCCTTGGTAACTCCATCATTTTCAGCCACTGCCAAACTGTCTTCCAAAGCAGCTTGAGTACAGATTTCAGATTCTCTCAACAGAGAGCGCCTGACTGCTTTCTGCTTTCCAGACAGACGGCGGATCTTCATTCCTATTAGCATCCTTTCAGTCAGCCCAAAAGGAAGTCAGATAAAAATCAAACCATGAATGAACCTGAGCGGCCTCGCGTGCGTGCGTGTTTTGGTCGCCCGAGCGGCCTCCGTGTGCGTGTTTTGGTCGCCCGAGCGGCCCCCGTGTGCGTGATTTGGTCGCCTGAGCGGACTCCATGTGCGTGTTTTGGTCGCCCGAGAGGCCTCCGTGTGCGTGTTTTGGTTAGTCACTTCTTGACAGTGACTATCTCTGCCATTTTTTCTGGCTGCTTCAATTTCGTATTTTGGGAATTCTCTATTTGCGGACTTTGCCCATCTTCCTGTGGACTGTGCGTCTATCACAAGGTTATGAGACACGCTCGCCAGCTGTGATCCACCTCCTTCTCCCCACGCTGTGATCTGCCTGCCTTCTTCTCCCCACGCTGTGATCCGCCTCCGAGCGTCATGCATGTGACTGGACTGTCCTATGTTTGGGGTTCTGAGGTCAGTCAGGTGGCTAGAGGAGATCAGGGGCTCCAGCTCCCGGCTCCTGGGTGGGATCCCAGCTCTGCGGTTCGTGGGTGGCCTTCAGGACGTTACTTAGCACCTCCGTGCCTCCATTTTCTCATCTGTAAAACAGGATGAGAACAGTCTGCAGCCCATGGGCAGATGTCAGAATGAATGAGTTAATCTACCTGAGTGCCTAGGTGCACAGGGTCAAGCGTTTGCTGTCATCACGGATTTCTCCGACTGAGTTTACAATTGCAGCGTTCTTCCTCATGCCACACGCAGATCAATACTCCTCTCCACTTCCTCCTGGTCATCTCAGAGTTTCCCTGTTATCGTTTACTCTGCAATCCTGGGGGCGTTTAGTTTTGAACATGGTGTGAGGTAAGAGTCCAACTTGGGTTTTTCCCCAAATCCAAAGCTGATTTTCCCAGCAGCTGCTGCTGTGGACCCTGTCCCATCCTCACTGATTTGAGACGCTCACCGCATCCATAGTCACCTCTCAGGGACACCTGGGTTCATTTCAGGGCTGGGCTGTTCACTTAGTCTCTTCTGTGGATCAGAAAACAGCAGTCAGAAGAACTAACATTTTAGCATTTAATTATGTGCTGGGACTTTGCCACACATGGTCCTTGTGTTAACTCCGGAGGCGGGTCAGTGGTGGGACCCAGGCTTGGGCCAGGCAGGCGACCCCCAAAGCCCAGAGCCGCTGACACACTGCCCAGAGCCCAGACGGCTCCTCTCCTGCTGTTCACACACGTGTCTACACCAGCAGGACGAGGACACCCAGGTGAGTCTTCCGTTACAAAGTGTTCTTAGACGCCCGAGACTGAATTACACTCTGGGATATAGCATAAAATCATCTTGTGAAATTCTGAAAACCCATGGGAAACTGGATTCAAATCTTACTAAATATAAACATTAACTTTTGAAAGAACAGACGGCCTCACGACATCTCGGCCTCCCCTCCTCATGTCAGCGTCTACGGCATCTTTCATTTGTTCCAGACTTTTCTCATTTCTCATGGGAAGGCTTTGCACTTCACCCAGGTGCCAACCGTTTCTTACTCATGTTCTTTCAAGTTACTTTCTGTTTTCTGCTGTGATCAATAGTCCTCCCCTCTCATTTATTTCATGAATTTATTGGAATTAAATCATTATCGTTTGAAACACGTGTGCTTGGACAGTCAGCAGCAACTGGTTTTTGTGTATAGTAGCTCCCTTTTTTGCATATGCAAAGCGGATTTCTCCTAAAGGTGACCAGCAGATTCACCAGTTTCCCATCCTGACCAACACTGGGCAGGCGGTGGCCGATTCCAGCTCTTGGCAAGTGGCGCTGAAGAGCTTTGATTAAGTCTGGTCCGGAGGTTGGCAAACTTGTGCTGCAGAGTCAGACAGTCTATGCATTTGCAGCTCTGGGCCATAGGTTCTCTTCTCACTGCTGAATTCTGCTGCTGTGGCTCCCACCCATCTGTAGACAATGTGTGAATGAACAAACGGATGGGCCTGATTTGGCCTGAAGGCTGGAGTTTGCTGAACACAGATCTCCACCACAGACTGGGTCTGTGAAAACTTTAACACTGGATACAAGCAGATACAACTTTCTAGACTCATACGCGGGCCAGTTTACTGAAATCTTATTAGTTTCCAAGACATTTCAGCCAATCTCTAGAGTTTCTAAAGCACCTGCTTACCTCGCCTGCAAGTAACAAGGATCGTATTTTCTCATATCACACACAGATGTGACTGCATTCGCCGGAAGGTCTAAAAAGTCATCATGCAGGACTCCTCTGAAGGTTCCATTTGAAGAGACATAGGGCAACTGGGTTCTGTGTCCCAAAATCTCAGAGCTGGAGGCTCCCTGGAGGGGTTACAGCTGGGGCCCGGCTGAAGCACACGCTGGCTTGGGTTTCAGATGGATGCTGGGCACTGGGTGGGCCTGCCCTACCCTCCAGGCTGACTGGAAGTCTGTGGCTTTTGGTGCTTTTACTCATTTGATTTGTTTTTTAATGAGTAAGACTGTGTCCCCCTAGTGACTTTTCCAGCATCTATTGAATTAGAAGACTTATTAAAAGATTCAATCTGGTGATATAGTTTGTCATTCTACCTGATTTTGAAATACAGGCATACCTCAGAGATATGGTGGGTTCAGTTCCAGACCACCGCAATAAAGCAAATATCGCGATCAAGTGAGTCACACAAATTTTTGGTTTCCCAGTGCGTATAAAAGCTATGTTTATACTATACTGCAGTCTACTAAGTGTGCAAAAACATCATGTCTAAAAAAAGTACATACCTTAAAAATAAGTTAGTGCTAAAAATGCTAATGATCATCTGAGCCTTCAGGGAGTCGTCATCTCTTTGCTGGAGGAGGGTCTTGCCGCAATGCTGATGGCTGCTGACTGATTAGGGCAGTGGATGCTGAAGGTTGAGGAGGATGTGACAATTTCTCAAAATAAGACATTAAAGTTGCTGCATCAATTGACTCTCCTTTCATGAAAGAGTTCTCCATAGCATGCGATGCTGTTTGAGAGCATTTTAACCAGAGAAGAACTTCTTTCAAAATTGGAGTCAATTCTCTCATACCCTGCCACTGTACTATCAACTAGGCTTATGAAATATTCGAAATTCTATGTCATCATTTCCACAATGTTCACAAGCATCTTCACCAGGGGCAGATTCCACGTCAAAAAACCACTTTCTGGCCGGGTGCGGTGGCTCACACCTGTAATCCCAGCACTTTGGGAGGTCCAGGCAGGCGGATCACAAGGTCAGGAGATTAAGAACATCCTGGCTAACACGGTGAAACCCCATCTCTACTAAAAACACAAAAAATTAGCCTGGCATGGTGGCGGGTGCCTGTAGTCTCAGCTACTTGGGAAGCTGAGGCAGGAGAATGGCATGAACCCGGGAGGTGGAGCTTGCAGTGAACCAAGATTGCGCCACTGCACTCCAGCCTGGGCAACAGAGCAAGACTCCGTCTCAAAAAAAAAAAAAGAAAAAAAAAAACTTTCTTTGCTTATCCCCAAGAAGTACTTCTCCATCTGTTCAAATTCTATCCTGAGATTGCAGCAGTCCAGTCCCCTCTTCAGACTCCACTTCCAAATCGAGTTCTCTTCCTACTTCCACCACATCTGCAGTGATTTCCGTCACTGAAATCTTGAACTCTCTCAAAGCCATGCATGCATGCATGAGAATTGGAATCAACTTCTTCCAAACTCGCATTAAATTCTGATGATTTTGACCTCCTCCCATGAACCATGAATCACAAATGCTCTTAATGACGTCTAGAATGGTGAATCCTCTCCACAAGGTTTGCAATTGACTTTGCCCAGGTCCATCAGAGGAATCACGATCTAAGAGAGCTACAGCCTTATCTAATATATTTCTTAATGAACAAGACTTTAATGTCAAAATTACTCCTTGATCCATGGGCTGTGGAATGGATGTTGTGTTAGCAGCGTGAACACAGCATTCATCTCCCTGAATATCTCCATCCAAGATCTTGGGTGACCAAGAGCATCGTCAATGAGCAGCCATATCTTGAAAGGAATCTTTTGTTCTGAGCAGTAGGTCTCATCAGTGGACTTAAAAGATTGAGTCAACCATGCCATACACAGATGTGCTGCCATCCAGGCCGTGTTGTATGTTGTATGGGGGACAGGCGGAGTAGGTTTGCTTAATTCTTCAAGGACCCGGGGTTTGCAGAATGGAAAATGAGCTCCAGCTTCAACTTCAAGTCACCAGCTGCATTAGCCTCTAACAAGAGAATCAGCCTGTCCTCTGGGGCTTCGAAACCAGGCACTGACTTCTCTCTAGTGGGAAATCTCACAGTTGGTGTCTTTCTGCAATAGAAAGCTATTTCATCTACATTGAAAATCTACTGTCTAATGGAGCCACCTTCATCAATGGTGCTAGCTAGATCTTCTGGGAACTTACTGCAGCTTCTCCATCAGAACTTGCTGCTTCATCTTGCACTTTTATGTAGTGGAGACAGCTTCTTTCCTTAACCCTCATGAATCAACGTCTGTTGGCTCCAACTTTTCTTCTGCAGCGTCCTCCCTTCTCTGAGCCCTTCACAGAATTCGAGAGACTTGGGGCTTGGTCTGGATTAGGCTTTGGCTTAAGAGAATGTTGTGGCTAGTTGGATCTTGTCTCCAGACCATTAAAACTTTCCATCTCTTTCTTATCATTCATATATTCACTGGAGTAGTACTTGTAATTATCTTCAACAATTTTTCCTTTGCTCTACAACTTGGCTGACTGGTGCAAGAGGCCTAGCATTCAGCCTGTCTCAGCTCTCGTCACGCCCTCCTCACAAAGCTTGATCATGTCTAGCTTTCGATTCAAGGTGACAGATGGACGCCCCTTCCTTTCACTTGAACACTTAGAGGCCGCTGTAGGGTTATTAATTAGCCTAATTTCAATATTGTTGATTCAGAGAACAGAGAGACCCATGGAGAGGAGAGACGGGACTGGCGGGTCAGTGGAGCAGTCAGAATGCATCCATCCATTAAGTGTGCCATCTTACACGGGCGTGGTTTGTGGTGCCCCAAAACAACTGCAATAGTAACAACAAACCTCAATGATCACAGATCACCGTAACAGATACAGTAATAAAGATTGAAATATGGGGAAAATTACCCAAATGTGACACAGAGACACAAAGTGAATGTATGCTGTTGGAAATAGGGTGTTGTCAGATTGGTTCAAGGCAGGGCTGCCACACACCTTCAGTTTGTGAGAACGGCAATATTTGCAAGGTGCAATGAAGCAGAGCACAATAAAACAAGGTGGGCCTGTAGCAAAACGCACTTTCGTTGCTCACGTAAGTTCCACTGCGTTGCACATGGCCTTTTCCTTTTTTTTTTTTTTTTTTACAGTCTCGCTCCGTCGCCCAGGCCAGAGTGCAGTGGCGCGATCTCGGCTCACCGCAACCTCTACCTCCTGGGTTCAAGCGATTCCCCTACCTCAGCCTCCTGAAAGTAGCTGGGACTACAGGCACATGCCAACCATGTCCAGCTAATTTTTTTGTATTTTAGTAGAGATGAGGTTTCACCATGTTGGCCAGGATGGTCTCGATCTCCTGACCTCGTGATTTGCCCACGTCAGCCTCCGAAAGT